CCCTCCCCTCTCGCTGGGAGGTTTCTAACCCCAAGAGTGCCTTTGGCGGGGGTCGGAGAGAAAACGGCAAGCAAGTGCAGTGAGCTCACCTTTGAGCTCTTCACATCCCAAACCCCCGCCATTTGCAGCGCAGCGGGCAGTACCCCAGCGTCTTCTCTTCAGGTGGCCTCCCAAGAGGCTGTCTGGGCAACAGGACCGTCGTAGACGCCTCCCCCCCCCCAAACTCTTGGGACCCAGAAATCCTCTTTATAAGGTGCCCAGAGACCCTTAGAGAAGGTCCATGGATCCCACTTCCCACCACCCCCTGGGAGAGCTGGGTTCTGCGTATGTGGTAGCCCCCAGAGGGCTTCCCAGGATGGGGGTACTAGGCCCCTCAGTGAAGCCACCCAGGCCTCCTGGGCTGATAACACCAATGTGAGAGTCTGGCAGAAGCTAGTTAGATCCCTCCTAGAGGAGGAGGTCTGGCTCACCTCAACCCCTCCTCTCTGAGCACAACCAGGCCTAGGTAGCCTTGAGTAAAGGATGGGAAACAGCCAGAAGGCAGTCTTCCAGTTCTGAGGGTTGAGGCAGGATCAGGACACTGGGGCTTTGGAGAGGCCCCTGCTCTGTGGAAACACAGAGGCAGCAAGTGCACCCCTGCCCTTGCCAGGCCTGTTGGAGCCCTCCTTGGTTTCCCGTAACCAAGGCCGCACTATGTGTTTGTTGAGGGATGAGCAAGTCCACACTGGCAGGCCTCACTCTGGACTCCCAGTCTGGGGCGGGGAGGATGAGGGGCTCCCTTCCCTCATCCCCTCTCTCTCCTAGGCCAGGATGAACGCCCCCAGGCCTGCATTCTGGGGGCCTCCTTAGGCCTCAGAGCCTCCCACCTGAGCCTCTGACACCCTGGGGCTTGCAAGCCTCTCCACTCAACAAGTCAGGCCTCCTCAAGCCCGGCTCCTCTCCCCAGGCAGAGACACAATGAGATTCTGACACCAATAGTTGATGGTTTCCTCTCAGTCATCATTGTATTTATTCACACATTCTCCCAGCTCTGAGCCCAGGCCCCAAATCAGGACATTATCTGGGACCTTCACCTCTCTGTCTGCCCCAGATGCCCACGGTGGGGGCTGCAGCCAGGCTCTTCCTTTGCACACCCCAAACCCACCTGACACAAGCCCTCTTCTGGCCTCTGGCACAGACACAGGAGCTGAAGTCTCCTCCCTGGCCGGAGTTGTTGGGCAGGATGGTCACCGCTGACTCAGAGCTGGCACATGCAACACCAGGTTCTGCCAGAAATGAAGACCCGGCCACGCCCTGCTTCCAGAAACCAGGCTGCTGCTCTGACCTGTGGGCTGAACTCACTCCAGTACTCTCCTCCCCTCCCCCGCATCTGTCCCTCCTCTCCCTACAGGCTGGGTTGCACTCTGCTCCTTCTGCTGGGTGTAAGCATGTGGGGTATGACTGTACATCTGTGTGTGGAGAGGATGGGGGTGCAGGAGGCACAGCAAGAGCTTTGTACCAAACCACAAAGTTGCTGGATTCTGCTCCCTCTGCCCTCAACTCCCAGGGCCCTCTGTGGGCCCAGCCCTGGCAGGCACCTAAGTTACTTTCCTCAAAACGCAGCTCTCAGTTACCTCTGCAAGATGCCCTGAGATTCTGGTGACTCACAGGGCTTTGTGGCAGGCTCAGTTTGCGTGCACAGAGGGGCTGCACATGCCCAAAGACTAGTTTTTTAAGGGTGGAGTTTCAGGCATCTCACCACCCCCAACCCAACTATCCCCAGTCTTTGATGTCTTTGTAAAGTGGGTATGGAGGTAGAGGACTTCTGGGATGACTGGAGACAGGTGAGAGAGACCTAGGGTTAGCCCAGTGCCTTCCTCGAGTCACTTCCCTTGGCCCATCCACCACCGCCCTCTCTGGATGCCTGGGGTGGTGGGCTTATTAACCCAAGAATGCCAACATTCAGGATGGTCTGACTCCAGGTGCTCCAGGGCTGGCCCTGCCCAACCCCTCCCCCATGAAACTCAAACCTAGACAAGCCTGGGTAGGTGAGGTGGAGGAGGTTTATTTTACCTTCTTCCTGTCTTTAGAGTCCTTGTTCCAGGGCAGCAGGGTGAGAGGCTGTTTAAATCGTTGCAGTTTCCTGCTGGGAGACTTTGAACAAATCTCTGCGGTCTACAATCAGGAGCTACAATCATCCTGAGAATCAGCAGAAATAATTGAAGTTAAGTACCTGGCACAAATAAGTACCTGCTGGAGGCACACGACCTAGAATTCCTTCTCCCCACAGCCATCCCCTACCTGGCCTCCTCTACAGATCCTGGTAGCCAGAGCCCAG